AAGGATGTGACAGTGTGTGTGTGTGTGTGTGTGCTTTTTCTCTGAGGTGTGTACTTAAGAAAGTTCTCTAACCTGTCTTTGCACTTTCCGGCAACATGTAATACGATTTTGTGTGGAATGCAACCTCTTACAAGTGTTCGCTGTCTTTCCAATACAGCATACAACAAGTCTGCCATTCTCAGTTATGACAGCAGGAGGAATATCTTTTAACAATGTGAACAATTTGTGATAAAATGTGACCGGCCTTGGTACTACATGAATTCATTGGAGAATGAAGAACCCAAAATGACAGAAGTGAACGAGACTGACCCTGGACAAATTACCCACGCCTACTCCGCAAACTGTCTGCTTTTTCAGTACAGTTGATAAATCTTACACTATATGCAGTAATATCTATATTTCATAGTTTAATATATACTGAATAAGTTCTACAATCAGTTGTTGAGAGCTTTTCTCTGCTCTCTGACCTTTTTTTAATGCCACATTTAAATCAGAATCACAGAAAACCCTAACTGTCCTTGTTATGTATTTTCCATTGTTGAATTGTTCCTACTTGTATTTTATAATACTGATATTTCCGGCATGCTCATGAAGGCAGCATGATGTATTTTTGACACAAGTGATCAGAGTACAATGACGGCAACTGAAGTAAAACAGGAAGGGTTTGGCTGTTTGAGATGTGGTTTAACATCCCAACCACATACTGTACACTCGTCTGTATACTTGCATGTTGCAAAGTACATTTTTAAAACTGTTACCTGGAGAAAAACTAGAAAAAGTGTTTACTTAGCTTTTACTCTGGCTGGCTGTGTTTATTTTCAGTAAACAATCCACAAGTGATGCCACTAGCTTTATAATTTAGCTTCACGTAATGATATCAAAACACGATATGGTACAATTAGCAATTTTCTCTTTCTTCGCTATACTGTATGTTCAAGCCTAGTTTAGCGTGTGAACATGTGCAACACAGGGTTCCCCTCGGGAAACTACTTAGCCGAGGTGATGAGACCACCCAGATCCGGCCGTGTCTCTTCCTGGTCTGTCCAATCAGACGGGAGATTACACAGCAACCTGACTATTTTCTCTTGGCGCAGTAATTAGTTTATGCTGAAGGTCTCCGCTATCATCCAGCTGATTGAGACCCATCATAAACCCCCACTGCTTCTTATTAGGGAAGAACAGACTGTCTGTGGGGTTGTCATAAGTACATCCGCACATGATGCTCTTTCTTTACATTCCTCTGATTACATCATTAGGCTCTCTGCCTGTCACCACATTATGTGCCCCTACAGTTCTCACAAATACAATAATTGGTGGCTGCAGTGCTCAGCCGATCCTGGGCATTTTCAGGTCCGCGTCTGGTTGCCATGTAGAAGAGGGGCTGAGGAGGAAGGTGCGATGGGAAGGCGTGAAGGAACAGATGATCATGACGGCTTCCTGGCATCTGATTGCGTGTGATTTCCCCCTGATTCTAATCAGCTGGTGTTGCTTTGAAATCAGCCCCCTTTGCATGTCATTACTGTGTGTGTGTGTGTGTGTGTGTGTGTGTGTGTGTGTGTGTGTGAGAGAGACACAGAACAGAATGAGCGAAGATGGATGAATATCCCATAGTTTGAATCGACAATCCATTTCACACACACTGGCCTTGTTTGCTACTTCCACGCCGAGGAGAAATTCATATTATTCGTGTGTTTTCTCTTATTTGCAGCCTTTATGCTTGTGCTATGCCGAGTTCTCCAGTTTCTTCCTGTCTCACCTCACAGCACAAATTGGTGTCAAAGTTATTTTATTCATTTTGTAGGAGACAGTTCTCTGCCCTCCTCTTTAATTGTCTGCTTTATCATTTTTGGCTTGAGTGCTGATAATGAATTAATTTAGTCCTCGTGTAGGCAGCCGCAAAATGGACAGTTTCTGTCTCTGCAAAGGGGAAAATTTACACTTCAGCCGTGACAGTTATTTTATTACTTCTTTCAGGGAATGATGATACAGAGTGTTTCAATGGGAAGGGATGTAAAGTACATGATTACATAGACACATTTGCTCTTAATTTTATGAAATATTCCATCCTCGCAATTTTCTCTCGCTCTCTCTCTTTATGTCACACACTGTCAAGTGCCTCCTGGCCCCATTTCCCAATTAACCACCAGAATTAGGGTAACAATGTAGTACAAGATAACTGGGATGACAAATTTAGCAACAATGGGAAGAAAGAACCTACCTCACTGTACTTTTTTTGTCTTCTCTTCCCTTCCCCTTAGCTGCATGTCGCTGCAAACGTATCTCTTATATAATGGTTATATCCGTGGCTAATCATTTAAACGCCTTATGTTCCATTACTGCATGCGTTTTCTGTCTGTTTATTCAGTGGCAGTGGGTCAGCACGTGCAGTATGTGTAAGAAAGGTGGCCAGGCTCGTGTCTGCTACCTTTGTCCCCCTCAGTGGGAGAGTGTGCCATAATGATGCTGCACAGGGCCATGCTTTATGTAACCCGCCCACAAGTTTGAAACACCACCACTCTTTATTATAAAGCCTTGTATTCATGTAGGTGTGTGTGTGTGTGTGTGTGTGTGTGTGTGTGTGTGTGTGTGTGTGTGTGTGATTTGCACACATTCATGTGACCTTATCCTCCATTTATGGGATGCACTCTACATCGGAATGAGGCAGAGCGAAGAAACATTTAGGTATTAACATTTCTCCAGCGAGGTCCTGAGGGATGTGTTTCGTCTTTTATCTTCCCAGAGGCAGCGAGAGCGGGGATACCTTTTTTAAAAAACCAGCGCTGTGTGTGTGCTTGAAGATGGGATTCTCCCTAATTATGCTCCTATTCTTCTAGTATATTAGACTAGCTGAGCCAGATGGTAAATACAGGGAGCTGATTTAAACAGGAGTTGCTATTAGAGTAGCTTATAAAGCTCATTAAACCCTCTTTGTGGTAGCTGGGGGATGAGTCCATGTGAAACGATAAGATGACAAGTTGCCCTCTGTAAAAAGTAATCAGCTGTGTAATCGAGTATTAATATGCTCTCTTTTTTTGTTTTTGAGGACATCTCTTCCTTCAGGAACAACTGTTTTTAAAAGAAGTTTCTCTCAGCAATCTCACTGTGTTCCTGAGAGCTGCTGAGCCGGTGCACAGACTCGCTGTAGAGTCCATTGTGCTTGAGGGCTATAGAGCCAGTTAACAGACAGGAACTTAACAGAGAGTTCAGCCAGCCAATATCCACGGGGACCTGCAGTGCACCTGTCTGTCTGCTCACTTTTGTTACTCATTTACACTTTTAGCCGCAATGACCAGAATTTGAAAGGGTGTTCAAATATTTTATACATAATTTTCACCGGTTAGGATGCTTCTGGAAAACTATAGAAACAATTAGCTGCAACAATTCAAATATTTAGTTGATCAAGATAGAAAATAATAGGTAACTATTTTCATAATTGATTAATCCTGTTTTTTTTTTTTCAAGCAAAAATGCCAAACATTTGCTAGTTCCAGCTTCTTAAATGCCAGGATTTTATGTTTTTTTTGTGGTATACAAAGGTCAACTGAATATATTTTAACAAATTGGGAGATTAATCGTTAGTTGCAACCCTAGAAAAAATCTGTAGTAATACTTGGATAAAAATGTTTGCGTGATGATCAGCACAAGTGAACCAATTTAATTCAAACTATTTACAGTAGGTATAAGGCCACATCCTTGACGGATGTTATTGGTGGTGACTGCATCTTTTCCAGTTTTGGCTGCACCGGCTTTAGATGCAAGCGCAGTCATGGAGAGTAGTAGTAGAATAGTTACTGTTGGTAATCACGGTATCAGTGGTTTATGTGGGACTCACTGGTATTTCTACTGTAGGTGGGGTCGCGCTGCACTCGAGCCCCTTGAACCTCAACTCCTGACTGAGATACACACCACAGCAAAGCGCACATGTACCGTCCTATCCAAATCTTGGCTCTCATTAAAAACAAAAGACAGACGGCAAGATGAATGCAAAAATGCTGATGTCTGACTGAAGATGAGAGACTTCTGATTTTCAGAATGAGCTGCGGGATTGTTTCAGGTTGACACTGGTGGTGGCGCCTTGCCATATTATTCTGCCACAGTGTGAGTCCAGACTAGAAGTAGATTATGAAGTGTTCTCCTGCAGTATTGATGGCGCTTGTGTGTCGAGACTGCTGCTGCAGCAATGTCGCGGTCGTCTCTCTGTCCCCTGGCTTTTCCTGACTAGCTGACTGGGGACCGGCTAATTGGAGGAAGCCCTGGAGGAGGAAGGAGAGGTAGAGGAAACGATGATGGCGGGAGATGGCAGGCGTCATGCATTCTCCGCATTTACCGACTCTGCCCTCAGTTTAGTGCGATACTGTATCTCTGCAGTAACTGCTGCCATGACAAAAAAATCTGCTTGGTTTCTAGATTGTTTCTTATCACAGCATACTTACATTATATATATATATATATATATATATATATATATATATATATATATAGCTAGCTGTAATTTTAACTCTAAATGCTGATTCCTTATGGCTATATCTGTAGAATCTACAATTCTCTGTTCACTAGCAACCACAATGACTCTTGGTGTCCGTCATCTATCATGCTGAAAGGTAACACGCATCCCTGTCGATGTCACGTTTTAGTCCCACGAGTATCTATCCCACTCCTCCTCCACCATCATCAACCCCAGCCTCTCCTGCCTCATCCCACCTGGACTATTCCTCACTGTAAGAGGGCAGAATGTGGGTGGAGGAAGCCATTCCTGCCCTCATCAACATTCAAGACAACCACTTAGTGTGTCCAAAGATTCTGTCGGTGCCTATTTGCTTCTGTGCGAGACAGATTCTGTGCAGCTGAAGGAGGTTTGTGTATGTCAGAGGGATAGAGAGGCAGGGAGTGCGATGGAGAATGAATAGAGCATGGTGTAAGTCTTTCTTCTCTGCCCTTGACCCCGCTCTGTTGATAAGTGAAACCTGTACCTCCCATTTATCTCTTGTTTTCTCTTTCAGACCATCATGGAGCAGTTCAACCCCTGCTTACGGAACTTCGTTGCCATGGGGAAGAACTATGAGAAGGCTCTTGCCAGTAAGTCCTCTTTTCTCTCTTTTATTTTCTCCGTGCTCCCTTTTTCGCTGCAGGTTTGGGCAGACGGCCAAGCCAGCACTCTCTCTCTCTTTCTCGTACATATATCTATCTACCTTTTCTGTACTCGTGGACTCTGACGGATACAAAATGCCTCTAATCTGATGCAGAAGTGAGGATACCTCTCTGTCAGCAGTCAAATTCACAAAAGAAAAGATGTGGATGTATGTTTGCTTCTCCCTAAACACTTACAGCGGTGCATCAAGCTTTTTGAGATTTAGGCTAACCCCCCTCAGTCCAACTAATCCAGCAATTAGTGCGTGCCCCCCCCATTTTCAAGCCTGTGCTTCTTTCTCCTTCTTTCCACCTGACACACACAATAACTAATCCTGGCCTTGGTATAGGTAGGAGACAGACTGGCTGAGCCATTAAAGACACACTTTGCAGAATTGGCTCGACCCAAGGGACTAAGAGGCTCTGCTTTGCGGGGGCAGGGGGATGGGAGGACACACTTCCACCCATATGGTGCAATCACCGAAATTAGTCGGCATCAGAAATTCCAAAAGGGCTCCATGGGGTAGGCTCGCTAGATCTGGATATGGACACGTTCCAGGTTTTCTAACACGGCAGTGAGTCGCTAGTTCTGACGTTTGGTAAGTGTAAAAGCAACAGATGCATACAACTGAGTGACTCCAACTGCCTACGGAACACAGCCTGGAACTTATTATACAAGTCCCCCAAGGGCATGATGGGGGACGATGCAAGTACAGGAAATGATCGTTGTCCTGATTAAGGATGTGGTTCTTCCACCTCTTCTCCAGAGTGAAGTGTGAGTGATGGATCAGTAGCTCTGAGATGAGCCCCTCCCCTATCAATTGTCTGTCTGCCTTACGATCAGAGATCCGATAATCCTCTCCGTCTGTCTCTGTGAGCCCCTCGCCACACATTTAATTAGACAGAAGTAAAGTATCCGTACATATCCAGCTTATCTACTCAGCTGCACACACATATATACACACACACACACATACTTGCTCCCTCGCTGCTGTAGCATTGGGCAAGAAGAAAGAGTCTGCTGCTTGGAGAATACTTTGAAAATCTGCTGTAACTCCCACCATCCTGCACTCACCCCCCCCGCCCCTCCACACACCGCACATGTGCAAATTTGCGTGTACAGACACACATTCACGCACACTCTCCACATCAAGGCAAGCAGCGGGGTGTGTTGTTTGGCATAATGAAGAGAAATCAGCCGCGATGC